AGTGTCCCAATATTGACAAGTTGAGAACAATATCGCGTATAGATTAGGCACGCGAAAACATATCAATTTATATTATTTTAACGTTGATATTGTTCATTGCTGGGTGCTAATATGAATCATTAACAAGATGTTTGTTAACAATATACACTATGATGGTACCGTAAATCCTGCTCAAATTTCTGACAACAGCAAAAGTGTCCACATGGGCTGTAGCCAAGTACCTTGCATTTTAAAAATAGTACAAGACAAAGATGTTCAAGGGGGGAAAAGTGCAATCGCAGCATGTAAAAGAGCGAAGACCGGCTTTCGCTCGCACGTAGGATTTATTCACTGGACGCCGGGCGCCGCCAGCGCCGCGTGCACAGCTGCGCGATCAACATCAGTCGTCATCTTAAATTGCCACAATTAACCAACACGTCGACTGTATATGACTGACCGCATGGCGCTGCAGCTCGGGCCGGGGAGAGCCTGGGCGGAGCCTCACATAGCGTCGTGACCACCACCGACCGAATAAGCACTCAAATATTTCTCGCCGCCAAATTTCATCCCCCAACCCGTTTCCCACAGGGACCAGTCCCGGCGCGCAGGCGTACCGTACACTCCTCGATAAGCCATAAAGGATACTCATTTCAGCACGCAGAAAGCATCAGCAAAGATGGCGCTGATAAGTCTGATGGGATATACACCAGCAGACACGGAACGGTATTGCACAGCGAGAGAGAGAGAGAGAGAGAGAGAGAGAGAGAGAGAGAGAGAGAGAGAGAGAGAGAGAGACTATTTGCCGCGATGGTCACGGACGACCTCCAGGTTACCAAATCATGTACGCATCAATTAAGTACACTCTTCCTCAGCGCGGCCCTTCGAAAATATAATTCGATGCCACAATCCGCTTCCTTGTTCGACTTTTGATGATTTTTTCCCCCAAAAACGCCTAGCGTCTCCCTTCGATACCTCCCCGATAAACAGGGCGCGCTCTACACTACATCCGTTATCGCCTTCGCCATCGATTCCCTCCTTGCGCAATGGCCAGGTGTGCGAATCTAATCCGGACCAAGGCGATGACATTTGCATGGGTGACTGTGTCGTTCCCACAGCCGTATACCGTATGCGTGTGCGTGCGTGTGTGTGTGAGAGAGTGAATCAATGCGTTTGTGTCGGCAAGTGTTTCCCTCGATCTGGAATATCAACCCTCCGCGCTCAACGCATCGCAACCCCCCTCCTCCTCCTCCTCCTCCTGGCTGTCCCGCTGTGGGAAAAACCGGCCAAGACACAAGCATTAGCATTCATCGAATATTTGCCTATTTCGGGCCTCCCGTGGGGGACTCATTATAAGACGGATACGGATTACGACCCCTCGCCATTGTCCGGCAGAGTCCATCCTCGGACATCCCCCCCCCCCTCTCCTCCCCTCCCCTCCTTGGGGCCAGCCGGCCGGCAGGGAAATCTATGTTAATTTTGCGTGATTTATGACAAAGAGTGATCTACTTTGGAGACGCGACGCAACGACGACGCTCCGGAGAAGGGAGCAGCAGCAGCAGCGAAAACGCGTAGACAAAAGTATAGCGGCCGCCGCGGCGGCACCGCACGGCGCGCCAAGAAGGCGAGGGGTGGGGGGCGCGGCTGGTCAGCGCGGGGTCAAGCTGCCGCCGGCGTGGCCTCGCCCCGCGTTGTCGTCCCGCGTACGAAAACTGGATTGCTCAGGTGGGACGTCCCGTCCAGGTCCCGTCCAGGTCCTGTCCAGTCCAGACCAACCACCACATGCGTATGCATGAGGGAGTATCACCCCCTCCCCCGAGTGACAGGTCGTGCGTACGTACCGCGCTGCGTAGCGTCGTCGTAGCGCCCAGCCGATCCTGATTTTGGTCCCACGGCACTTCCCTTCTCCCCCCCGAAGGACGGTTAGAGCACGACGACGCGGCCTGCACGGCATCAACATTTTAATCTTTTCCTTTTCGGTTTGAACAAGTGTCACACCACCGGTGCACCACCGCACCACCGCGCCCCCGCGCCGCCCCGCCACGCCCCCGCCGTCGCTGCTGCTGCTGCTTCTGCGCTGTTCTTCAGAGATAATCTCCCCGTCCTGCGTCTCGTTATAAGAGGCATGCAAAAAGAGACCAGGGCGAGTCGGCCGGGCCGGGCGTTGTTTGCAAAAGAGGCACGTGATCCCGAGGAGCAGCGCGCGTGGGCGTACACAGGAGGGTTCAAATAGTACTACAGTACTAGAGGTAGTACGCAGGCCAGAGGCAGCAGTACCCCACGCAGCCGTGTTGCAAAGATTCAGACGACTTTGCACAACATGATTGACCGGTGGAATTACACTTTCGAATCCCTTTTAGACTCTAATTGGCTCTCTATTTGCAGCAGGAAGGAGTGCTCTCTCTCTCTCTCTCTCTCTCTCTCTCTCTCTCTCTCTCTCTCTCTCTCTCTCTCTCTCTCTCTCTCTCTCTCTCTCTCTCTCTCTCGTGGGGCTACCGCTATTCGGTGTTCGCGTGACCATCAGGGGGCCCAGCTCGCCTGACCCCTAGCCGAGGCGCGGCGCGGCGCAGGCTGGCCGCGGGAAGACGGTAGTTCTTACGGAAAGACTCTCCGGGCCGGGCTGGACCAGGGCAACAGGATGTTTGTTCGAGAGCCACTTATAGCGTTGCCAGGGGTAACCGGCGGGTACCACCCGCGAGCTAAGGTGGCACAGCTTTTTTACAAAAGCAACCGCCTTCGCTCTGTTTATTGTCACGCCCCATACCCCTTCGCTGCGAGTGTGGCGGGGCTTCACTTCACCGGGACCGGCTTGCTTTGCTCGATGTCAATCGCGGGGGAACACGTTTACTTTGGCAAATTACCGACACGCATCGGTAACGCGTCGTCCACCTTCTTCTCGGCAGGACAACATACAAGTGTGTGTGTGTGTGTGTGTGTGTGTGTCTGGAAGAAGGGTGGTCCTCCAGGATTCCCACGCTGTGCTGCAGGACACACACACTCACACACTCGCACACGGACGGACGGGCGGGCGAGAGTGTGCGTGCGTGCTATTGCGTGCCCTGTCCACTCAGCTGCTCTGCCCTGCCCTTCGATGTCATGCTCCTTTCTCGTATAAACACCCAACTTTGACTCCAATTTTAAGCATTTTAACAGAAAAGTATAGAGTTTCTCTCTTGCTTCCCCGACACATCAAAGCAAATCACCAATTACTGCGGCAACATAGCAAATACCCGCGACACACTAATGCCGCGAGCTCGGCAGGGAAAACTTCGTCAAATTTTATATACGAGATTTGGCGCGAGGCGGGGGGCGGATCTGTAACGGTGGGCAGGGGCGTGGCGGAGGCTGGCGGAACGGGGCGTCCTTGGTGGGTGCAGCGTTCGGCTGTCCGAGGCAGTACTGTAATTGGACGAGTCAGTAACTTCCTTTCGGGGCACAAAAGCAAGGAAAGCAAACAACCAGCTATTAGACTATTAAAACAACCTGCTATACAATCCCTTCCTCGGATGCGCGCGGCGGGTACGCTTCGTGGTCGGATTTGTGCGCGCGACAGAATATGGGAAGGGAAGGAGGCGAGATATTTTACATTTACAGTAATACCTCCTTGAATTCCGGTAACACGGCAGAAAACACTGCAGCCGACTTCATCAAGCGCGATGAATGAAAGAGTCTCGTCAAAAGTGTACAAGGAGTACGGGGAAACCATGCAGAGGAAAACCAGGAAAACCCACCAAAGTAGGAGGCCAGACCGATTTAATTGTAGGTGATTACGCAATTAGGTAAACGCCACTGCAAACAGAGGCAGTCAAGGAAGCAGACGCATCGGAAAGGGGGGAGAGGAGGGGGCAATAACAGTGCAGCGACCGAGTGTAAATTCGTCTCGCGGCCTTTTATAGGGTATAACACTGTCAATCGACCTCCGCAGTAGGTATCGTTTGTCCTGCCTTCTCTCGCCCAAGTATGCAACATCAATCACTAACTGCCCCGTATCTCACCTCAGATCGGGCCAGATGAAAGGCCGACTAGGATAAGAGTTGGGGGAGGAGGAGGGG